TTCCGAAAAATGTGAGAAAAGCTTTTATTTTTTAACTTGTATATATGAGTTTAGTCATGTTAAAACAAAATTGCTACCGCGGGCCATCAATGGAAAACTTTTAACAGCCAAAAAAGTCTTAAACGATGCATCAAAGCGAAAAATTTAGTCTTTAATAAATTAAAGAACGTTAAATTTTGCTTCGAACGGGTACATAAAATTTATAATTTGGTTATGTGGTAAGGTATAAAACCACGGTCAACCAACGCAGATTTTTACCAAATTTGTCACAAACTGAGAAAAATTACTATAAATGGCCCTACAACTTGGAAATGAGTTCCTTAAGAGGAAAAATTCATAGAACCAAATTTGTAGAGCATCAATTTAGCGTCCAGTGAGTACTGACATTTTTTTTGTAGGCCAATTATATATCCTTACGTGGTTTTATATCTTACCACGTTACCAAAATATAATGTTTATGAACTCGTTCGACGCACAATTTAACGTTACTTTAAAGTTTAGGGGCTATAGAAGAATATGACTCTTTTTGCTGTGAAAAGTTTTCCAATGATGGTCCACGTTAGGAATTTTGGTTTTTACATGTCTAAACCCCTATATACAAGTTAAAAAAATAAAAATGTTTCTCACATATTTTGAAATTGATTTCCCGTTTTTATCCTCGAATTACTGGCCTAATATACTTTAAATCAGCCGCCATTTTTGAAAGCAGCGGCTCTGGAACGGCATACATGATTCGTTTTACTCAGAATAACATTTACTTTCGTCATTTGCAATCAAACCTTCGCCTGTGACCAAGTCGATTTTTGGGTCCTGGCTCCAGAGCTATGTCGGAAGATATCTCGTGTAATGCTTATGCCTTCTCTGTATATTGCCGCTTAAATATATCCCAGACCAAAGCGAGAAAAAAATGTTAATATTTATAAGAAACAAAGATAATATTTATTAGCAATGGTATGATGTTTCGTTCTTTGTAAACGTTAATTAATTCAGTAAATATTTAATATTGTCCATTTATTAGTTTGTAAAATTACATATAGCCATTTTAATTAATGATTTGAGAATTAAAGATATAAATTGATTTTTATTTCCGTAATCAACGCCATCTTTATTTTTATCAGCTGAATCTACAAAACAATTTTAGAATATTGAACTTTCAAAGCTATAATGATTTGTATTGTAATTATTAAGATGAGGACCGCACGGATTACGCGTGGCCCACAATCCTTCGGCCACACTTGTTCATGAAAGATCTTTCGGATAAACCAGGATGCTTTCGGCACTCCATGACCGAAGTGATTGTGAACCGCGAGTAACCAGTGCGGTCTTTATATAAATAATTACCAGATTAGTTCAAGACCAGTATTATTTACATAAAAATCATGTACCTAATTGTGAATTCTAAAAAAAAAAAAGAAGTCTGCGTTCGTTTCGCTAATAGTTCAATAACATTGGGAAATGAATTCAAGTTCCTTTGTAAGAAATTACTCAAATATCGTTGCGAACTGCATCTGTACGGAGCTGGGACTACATTAAAGGCGAAGTACGATTTTCGAAGTAGAGGGTTTATATGAAAATAAAGAAATTTTATATTCTTTTTTACAATTTATAATTATACAGAATATAATAAATGCATACATTAATAATCTATTAATTAAAGTGGTAGTATTTATTTAAAAATTATACAAGTACATTATTGTAAATTGCAAAGAAACTGTTTCATTTGATTTTCAGATACTTTAAAATCATAATTCATAAGGAGACAATAGCGGATCCAGGATTTATTTTTGGGGGGGGCTTCAGCCCGAAAGATTTTTTTTTCATATACAAATAACGATAATTAATTTGAAAAAAAATAAAGAAATTAATTACCTATATGAAATGGTGTTTAAGTGGTTCTTAAGTCCTATTAAATATAATTACACGAACAAGAATACTTTAAGAGATAGTTTTTAATATTTTTTTTCTGTAAAACATGGTTGTATTTTACCATTTTGGGGGGGGGCTTCAGCCCTAAACCCCCTCCCTCTCGTAGATCCGCTTGTGTAAGGAGATGCAATAAACTTCTTTTATAAGGAATAACTTTAAGAATTGTTGCGAAGTGAATCGGTACGGAGCTGGGACTAAGTAAGTACTGGGACTAATGTTCGAACTTGCATAGACAAGTTGAGCCTAAAGTTCAAAGAAGGAAATAACACTGTTCTGCCAAGAACAGACCAATTTTGTGTCGAACTTATGATGTCACGTTTTTTATTTAATCAGAAGGAATTTCTAAAAAATGACTCAAGATATCAAAATTCTAAGTACACCATCGTAGAGTAGACAAAATTTCATTTGAGAAAACAGTGATTAAATTCACTAAGGTCAATGATAAAATTGACTTTGAGGAGGCCTAATACGACTGCTGCACTACTGCAGTTACAGTACCCACCCAAGAGCATTACATCTCTGTATTCCTGGTTCGTAAGCAGCAGTACACGGTCGTATAAAGACCTCCTGAAAGTCCCTTTTATCGTTGACTTTACTAAATTTAACCACTGTTTCCTCAAAGAAAATTTTGTATAATTTACGATGGTGTACTTAGAATTTAATTATCTTGAATAGTTTCCAAGCTATTTCTTCTTATTAAATAAAAACCGTGGCCACTTAAAAAAAAAAAATGATCCTTTTCGGAATCGGCCTATGCATTAAAAAAACTTTTTTGTTGGCAATTTTGTCTAGAATCACCCTCCAGAGTTTGGCCGTTAAGAAGTGAGACAATCTGTCTCTCTCTCTCTCTCTCTCTCTCTCTCTCTCTCTCTCTCTCTCTCTCTATATATATATATATATATATATATATATATATATATATACACGTCGCTTATACGTCGAATGCATTAACGAAAAGGATAGCTACTTAATGGGAGTGTTTTCACATTGAAGTATAACTAGTAAGACATAATAAGTGGGTAATAATTTACTGCGCTTTCCCGCTAATCGTTAATCCATACTATTATACTACATATGTTAATCAATATATATTATTATAGAGCATGAGCCAGTTGGCCAGACGAAGCGATGAGGAGCTGTTAAGGGTTCGACGACCTCCTCCGAAGAACCAAGGTCCCGCGAAGACCAGTTCCATTCGATGGACTTCCAAAATAGTATTCTACCTTTGATATCGTCACAGTACTATATAATGCTACAATCTTACCTTGTTCAATGAATAATATTGTGTTGTAATTAATAAATAAAAAAAAATAAAAAATATGTCAAACTATAGTGGAAACTATAATGGAAAAAAAATAGGTGTCATTATCTAAAGAGAAGTTAGTCGGGGAAGCGATCAGTATAGTCCGTGGTAGAGATCCCTTTTTATGGAAAATTAACATCCGCCTGAAACTTCGTGAATAGTTTCATCTCATCCTAACCTACAACTATTTTATTTATGAAAACTCTTGGAATTGGAACGTTTTCAATCTGCAGATCGGCAAACTTTGTTTATTTAATTTTTTTTTAAGCTTCTTTATTGAAAAATATTACAATCTGTCTCAAGGACATTTATAATAGTGTTCACAGATCACATTCACACTAAAATAAATTATACAGAAAAGTAATATATATATATATATATATATATATATATATATATATATATATACAATAAATAAGAATAAAATAACCTAAAAATAAATGAATAAAAAGAACACATACATACCTATATACAATCTGGCAAGAGAGAACTCCAAACCAGACTTGTCCCTCCAACTGCGGAGAGAGGAGCATGACTCCAGGAGATCCCTGCACTTCTCTCTCAACCGTGTCACCGGGGCTAAACCCAGTGGAGATTTTTTATTTAATTAGGTACTAAAAACTCATAAATACCCATTTGCTTTCCACTTGGATCATTAGATAATTAGATCACAAAATCGAGAAAAAAAGTGAACTTCAAAAATATTGAGCTGTTAGCATGACCTACACCCCAAAATTTCAAAATATAAACGAGGTTATATAGGACAAACGGCCCAATATTTTTGTAGACCACCTTTTTTATCGATAGTTTTTAGTATCTATTTAAATAGACAAAGTTTGCCCCCCCTCCAGATTGAAAACGCCCCAATTCCAAGAGTTTTCGAAAATAAAATAGTTGTAGGTTACGATGAGATGAAATTACAAAGTTTCAGGCGAATGTTAATAATTCGATAAAAAGGGGCCTGTACCACATGCTAATACTGTAGTATATTAAAAATAAATATCGAAAGAAATTAGTACAGAGTAATTTTAACAACAAAATAAATTCTATTAAATAACAGCAATGAATTTTAAAGAATTTAATTTTTCAGACAATACAATAAATATAACTCTAAATTTTCCTCAAATTAGAACTATGGTCATTAATTTCCATAACATGTATATTTACTATTATTTAGTAAATATTAGTACTAGGAAGACAAAAACAGCCACAACTTCAGTATCTATTTGTAACAAGAAAAATCTATAATAAATACTGCAGTCCTTTAAATGTGTTTAATTTCCAGTAAAATTAGTTATTTGATATTTTTAAAAGATTACAAAATAAAAAAAAGCGTTAAGCTAATGGTTAATTTGCCAATTTGCATTTTAAATTAAGGTAAAAAAAATATAAGCAAATTAATTCAGGCTAAATCATATCCCAAATTAAATAGAATGACTTAAGATGAAGGAAAAAGGTAAGTAATATTAGATAGTCATTTCCAAGGATCCAAGACCAATAGTTAGTTTTTAGTCGTATTTTCTCCTGAAAAATATGCTACTGTACTGAATCATCAGATCAGATATGAAGGATTATTTTCTAAACAAAACAATATCAGAAAATTATGTCGCTGTTGTACATTTCCTTGTTTTCATGTAATTACATCGTGTATAATAAATAATTACATAATAAACGGAAAAAAGTACTTTTATTTAAAAAAAACCTCGAGATCCTTATTTTTATTTTGAATTTGAGTTTCACAAGAATTAATATTTCTAACTTCAAATGGTGAATACTTGTGAATTTAGAGTTATAGCCTTGCAGCAAAGAACTGGCAGGATTATATCAAATTCACTTTTTCGATTTTTTGAGTAGTTCGCCTTCAAATTTATATTTTTAAATTTCAAACTGCTTTTCTGAAAAAAAATAAAATAAACATTTCACTTCATTCTAAATATCGTAATTTGATTCCTTAATCTATTTTTTTTAAATTAAATAAATTTTATTTTCTGTATTATAAAAGGCATATATATATTATCTATATATATATATATATATATATATATATATATATATATATATATATATATATATAATATATATATATTAAAGTAGAAAAGGGTGAAGCGGTTTAGTTGTACGAAGGAACTAAGCCAGAGGACCGGACGGAGCGCGTGGGCGCCCAGTTCCTCAGGAGTCTTGTTCTTGTTGGAGCGACAGGTTCTGTTGTGTTCCTCAGCTCTAATGGTATCGTAACTAACTCTAAGCTCTGCCTACTAGTTTCAGAAAAGAGTTGGAGGACAACAACTTCGTCGCTAAATGAAAAAAATATAATCAATACAAGACAAGTTCTAGGCAGAAAAAATAACTATAACTTTTGATGTGTAAAAAAAAAATCTGGTGTGTCCACTCACACGACTTTCCTAACTATTTCAGAAAAGTTTTTATATCTTTACATATGTTCATGCAGAAACAAAAAAGAATTGAACTAGATTTATTTTCCTGAAAATTGATCAAAGAAAAGATTTGAGTACGATTTATTTGATAAACTAAACCAATGTAAACCGCTTAAGGTAGATAACAGTAAAAATTTCAATACTCACTAATATTGCTGATCAAAAACTTTTTGCCATGGCTTAGTATTGTCACTGTTAAAAGTAGAGGAATAGTGAAACTTGTGTGATGCGGGCAACAGATTTTCTTACTTTCACTAAGTCATCTTTATTCTCTCGTTCATCCCTTTCTGACACCAGGATAAGAACCCGTAATCTTACATTGGAAATTGAATAGCTGTAACTTCGTTAATAGTTGTCCAAAATGAACGATTTTTATATATTTTGTAGGGAATTTCGTTACTTTCAGAGGGGGCTGAAACGATCTGTCGAAAACCGCATATCTGAAATTTGACCCGATGGCAATACTTTCCTTACCTAGTATAGGTAGTAATAAATTAAAATATGTGTAGAAAATAGAATAAGCTATATCATCGCCAATACTGGTTCGATGATTTTTTTTTTGTTTTGTTGATAATTGAATTACCTTTCAAAAGTTTTAATATAAATTTTACCATAGAATATAATATACTTAGCGAGTTAGGCCCCAAAACATTTTTCTTTTCTTTATAACTATTTTCTCTGAATTTCCTCGAGAATTTAGTCCATATACGAAAATTGATAGGACAATTATTAAAACATTACAGAAAAGTTTCATCAAAATCGTTATAGTCGTTTTTGAACTACAGTCTATAGAAAAGCACGTTTTTCATTTATTGCTAGTACAGCACCCAATTTGTGTCACAGGCATTAATAGTCAAAACCCTACAAAATAAAAAAGAAGCAACAAAATCGGTTCACTAGTTCCCGAGAAAATCTTGGCACAGACAGAAAGAAAGACAGATAGACCAATGGCTAAAAATGTTTTTTTTCGGATTCAGGGGTCGAAAACGGCGTATCGGTAATTTGACCCGATTGCAATACTTCCCTTACCTAGTATAGGCAGGAAAGTAAAAACGTTCGAATGTTATAGTCTAGGAGCAAAGGTGAGGATTGAGATTATTCAGAAATTTAAGTTTACTTAATACTCAATGCCCTTAATTGAGGCAAAATGTATTTTTTTTCTCAATAAAATATTACTTAAAAAAAAAAAAAATTACTCAACGCTAATACCATGGATCGATTGAACACAACACCGATGGAAAACGATTTATGCTGAATTTAGACAAGTTCATAAACCGTTGAGATATCCTCAGCACTGAGCTTAGAAATAATTACCCTATTGTAAAACTATTAAATGTATGATAACGTTTCAATCCACTTCCCATGCTTCTTTTAAACTACAAAAGCGAGATACAATAAATTTATATAAATACTAGATCTCAATCAGAATAAACTGGTTCATCAGGTTTAAAAAGAAACATAAAAGAAGATGAAACAATGTAGGAGTAAAAACGATATAAAGAATTTAAATATGAGCGTACAAAAATGGAAGTGAAGAAGATAGAATGATTATAGTAATAGCAATTTGTTGTCAATTATTATATCAAATACTATACGTTGCATCTTTCTTTTTGCCTTTGTTGAAGACCTTTAAAATGAGAGTAAAAATGTAATATTGATTATAGAAACATACCGAACAAATTATCATCAATTTAAATATGTACATGAAAAATTGTAAATAATAAACATTAAAGGTGAAAAAAACGTTATTATCTGATATAATAACCGACGAAGGATATGATTATATTAATGATTGCCCTGCACATTGCTTGTCAATTAATTTATTAGTTTGTTCATGGGGGGAGGCATGCGTGTGTTACAGCATTTTTATATTATTATTTATTGAACACGTCCACTGTACTTTATGTATTAGGTTAGAAAGAGAGAGGAGAGAATGTGAGTAGTGGGAACATGTATAAGGGGAGAGAAGGAAGTGAACGGGTACAGAATGATAATAAATGAATGAAAGAAATAGTAAAAAATTTAAAAAAAAAAAAATGGTTGACCGTTGATATAATATGAGAAGGAGTTAGTCGAGGGTGCGGTGAAATAAATAAATAAATAAATTAAAATATATTAATTAGTTTTAAATTTTGCCGACGTTTCGACCCACTTTGCAGGTCGTCTTCAGGGCTACAAAAGATACAAAACATGTTGAAAATAATAAATAAAAAATAAAATTCTTATATTTATTTTTTATTTTCAACATGTTTTGTATCTTTTGTAGCCCTGAAGACGACCTGCAAAGTGGGTCGAAACGTCGGCAAAAATTAAAATAATTAATATATTTTAATTTATTATTTATTTGACCGCACCCTCGACTAACTCCTTCTCAAAAAATAATAATATATATATATATATATATATATATATATATATATATATATGTGTGTATAAAATATTGTATACTATGCTCATTATATTTTAAATTGTCTGTAGTGATTAATAAGTATGCTGTGTTGTTAGCAACCCAAGGTAATAGGGCAGCACCATTTTATGATAATAAAGTGATTCTCTCCTTCCTGTCTGCAACCCAATTCCGGAGTTTAGTCCGTTCCTCCCGACTAAGACTGTATATATTGTAGTATCTATAAATATTTAATTTAATTTGGTTCTTTTATCTAAGACAATGATCAAAGCCTACTTGAAACACATCATCAATAAGAACGACCAACACGTGGTTTACTAAAGCCAGGATGGTTAAAATTTGCATATCCAAGGCCATAAATTAAAATATTTAAGGAAGTCCCCCCTCCTACTTCTTTTGTATGAATTAAATTAGGACCGTTTTTTACAACGGAAGGTCGCATGCATTAAGAGCGATCCTCGAACCTGGACCCCTTAGCCATGCTTCAGGAAGTGGAAGCATTAACATTCAATGGCAGAGCCTTATTCTCTTCAGGACAGGTGTTAATTTATACTTCTCAGGTGGCGTCAGCCTGTTCCTTGTCCCTCCATCACTCTTTATAGATCAATAATACATATCTAACATTACAAAAAAATTCACCGTAATTTGATTTTTGAATCAGTAAAAGGAGTTTTATTTAGGTTCATCCCAGATAAAAAAAGGATGTTGAAGATAGCTCAACAAGGAACTACATAAGTTAAGATCTTGAGACTTGATATTTATTTTTTCTAATTTGTGAATGTTTGTATGCACCTAATTTAAATTAAATTTAATTTAATTTAAACAATTTTAATCATCTTATCGTAATTTTTCCTTTAATAATATTCCACTCGTTCCTGTCAAACAAATCAGCTACATTACACGGCAGCGTATACCAGCATTACCAAGAGTGTGCCCACAAGGAGGTTTCATGGCAGAAGTTGCGATATCAAAGTTTTTTTTTTGGAGGGGAAGAGGAAGGAGACACATATTGACGGGATTTTGAACTTTTGAGAGGGGTACATTTTGCCCATTTTCGGAGTAAAAACTTTCAAAATAGAGAACTAATGGGAAAACATGGAACAGGCACAGCATGTAATTGTTTATGATCTACGATTTTTATAATAATAAATTCGCACTGTTTTTAAGAAGAGGAGAATAATACAATTTTTGGAGAGGGGATATGATCCATGCGCCATAGACCTTGGAGAGGTGTGTGAGTAACGCTTTACATTGCTGTTGTCTTAGATAAACATAAATATATTTTTATTGAATATTTAATAGTTGACCGTTGCATTATAAAGGAGGGATATGGTACGAGGCGGCGGTCATAAATAGGCTAAATAGTAGCAAAACTATTTTATTAACAGCCTACGTTTCGATCTGTCTTTGCAGGTCTTCTTCAGGGAGGTGTATTCAGCTAGGAGTTTCACTTAGAACTGACTTAGAATTGAGTTCTAAGTAAAACTCCTAGCTGAACACACCTCTCTGAAGAAGACCTCAAAAGTCGGGTCGAAACGTTGGCTTTTAATAAAATAGTTTTGCCACTATTTAGCCTATTTATGACTGCCACCCCGGACCATCTCCTTTCTTTAAATATATTTTTATATATGTGTTTATCTTCATTTATATGTAGGAAGGATAATGTTTTTTTTTTTTCAGAAGATCAGGAGAAGGAGGGCTTATATGTCTATGTTTATGCTTATGTCTTACACAAAATGTTTAGGTTAGGCTATGTTAAATTGTTCGAGCGAACGTTGTATGCGAAAATCCGACTGCCGTTATCTAATTAGAGCAATAATAATTTTAATAACCACTAATAATCCTTATTAATTGCGATCAGGATCTCAATTAACCAAGATGGTTTGCTTCTACAAACTCGGTTATTTTCAATCTATTGTGTGATCGATGTGATCTTGATCATAGAACCAGCCGTATGGTCGACTTAAACATCAGGTGAATCGAATATAAATACATACGTGCGTCATTGGAAGGTTAAATCGATACTATGTATACCAAACTTTATGTTTATTGCTGAAACTTTCCACATTCATAAATTCTTATAGCATCACTTTAATAAAAGTATATTAGAACTAAATTTAGAATGGAATGGATAGAACCTAACCTTCATGGCTCACAGCTGTTAATACTCCGTAAGAAATACCACAATGGACAATAACCCAACATCATCTCCCGTTTAGAGGGGGAACTTCAATGAAACACGCAAGCCAAATTACAGGTTCTTCATAATATATGGAAAGTAGAAAATACCGGACGAATGGAATCGGTATGTACTTAACAACATTCGCAAAATGTATCATGAAGGTTAAGCCATATTGTTCAGTGAAATTCATTTTATAATATAATTGACAACCACACTGTTACCTCACTTCTTAGATGGTTCTATCTCAACCCAAATTCATTACTATCAAGATAATATATGTAACATTATATCTTAATTATATATAATCTTAAATACGAAATTTCAGTACCTCTATATGTTTCTTGAAGAATTATCAATTTATTATCAAAGTATAGGTTATAAAATAAAATTCCTCCTGTGTATTTAAATTTTAGTTTGCTGTTTTTATAACTAATTTTAAGTTAATAGCGGACAAGTGTTGTTCCAAAAGTTGTGAGCGGGTGGCTCAAAATCTCATGATCCCACTATAAATGGAATCCCAAGAACGGCGGAGAGTATCCGAAAGTAGACGAGGATGATCGAACAAAATTTATAACTGATGTTATTCTTTTCAGATATTTCTCAGATAACATCTTACAACCTATCCATTTTATCCACCTCCGGAACATTTATTTGTCTATTAGTACCCATCCATCTTGTTCAACAGGATCAGCAGCGAAAATTAATTAACTATTAATAATTCATCAACTGATTTAAAATAGTTGATAACTGACAATAAATAAGCTTCTACTAACAAAAGATTTAATTGGTTGATAACTTTAATCTTGATCTTTGTTTTCTTGATTGAAAACTAACTTCAGTTAATTTAAATTTTATTAATAGTATAGTCAACATCTTAAATTATTTACACAAAAACAAAAAGGATTTTTGAAGGAATAAATTCTTTTGGCGCGTATTGTACTTTTTTATGGAGAGTGAATTAGATTGAGCAATCAGATCTCCGAATTGTAACGCTGAGGTAAAGTTGATTGGAATCAACTAATTGAAGTGTTTTTTCATGGACTAAAATATTTCAAATATTAAAGAAACTGTAAGCGAGAATCGTTCAGAATTTCGTTCTCTTTGTATTGGGCTATTGTACCGTAATGCGAGGTCGTGTTAGAGAGGCGAAAAGTAAAACAATAGTATCGAAAACCAAATGATACCGAATTATATTGAAAATATGGACTAAAATATTTTAGAATCGGACATACAGGAGGGAACTGTTCAGTGTGTCATTCTCTTTATAATGAGCTATTATTTATAATTTATATTTCATATTATGAATCTCGCCTTGTTGATGTTTTACTTCTGTCTTACGTTAGTTTTTTTTTTTACCAATTTATTTTTCTGTTGGCATTACAGATCTTATTCCGCCTTAACAAGCCTACTCCATTTGTACCTATAGTGTGCTATTTCTTTCCAGTTATCTGTACGTAACTCAATTGAGGCATTCATAGTCGTATAAAGGCTTCCGGGTGGACTGCTTGAAGTTGCATGATCCGCCCATAAGTTTCTGTAAGCAACTCTTTATTGTTTTTTTTTTCTCCATGTGTTTCAACTATGAACTCAGATCGCCCCGGTTATCGAAGAAAGGATTTTTCGTCGCTGGTTAATGTCCAGATCGCACAGCCATTTATCATAACTGGATTTATAGCATTCTATATCCTTAATTTGAGATTTATAGAGATTTTTTGGTACTTCCATACCTTTGAAAGGGAGAAGAAAGCACTATTTTTGTTTGTTATTATAAACTAGTCTATTTCCGACCATTGGTTATTCATTGAAGTTATTGTGGAGCCGAAGTATAATGTACTAATTAATAAACATAATAGTGAGGGAATAACAAGCGATTATATCGGTTATAGTTCAAATATACTAAAGAAGAGGAAGAATCTAATGAGAGTTTTTTTTTTTCACTATAAAGTGTTTCACAGAATACAAATATTTTTTTTTAGTTATTAAAAGATTTTTTGTTCTTTTTCAGGCCTACGATATTCACTCCGTTCCAAAGGGCTTCGTTCTGTTGATCAACAACGAAACTTTCCCAAACAGCTCGTTCGAAAGAAGGGAAGGATCAGACAAAGATTTTCAAGAACTGAAAACACTCTTCAAGCACTTGGGATTCAAAGTCTTGCCATATTACAATCTTAATTATCAAGTGAGTGCTTGTATAATTTTATGTACCCTTCACCTTAATCTTACCATAACATAGATTAACCTATAAGCAATATAAAATAGTACTGAGAGTAGTGGTGTTTAACCCAAAGTAGGATTACCAAATTAAAGTTCATCCATTTCATTACATCAATAACAGTAATTAACTGTTTTCCATACCCTCTACTTGCCTTCATCGCAGATCAGTCTGTCAGTACAAAGCAACGGTCTATTAATGGTAGGCTATGTTCCCTATATATAGCCTTTATATATAGCCCTATAATATAGAAGCATCAAAGAACAAAATTTAAAATCTCGTGAAATTAGGAAAATTTGGCTCCTGAAATTTCAATATTTTAAAGTCATTCTGTCAATAGAAATGCAAATATATCGTATGCAAGGACATCGTCATTTCCTTTGAAAATCAGATACTTACTTGTTTTAAAATTTCAAGTTCTCGAAGTATCAATTTTTTAGTCTACTACCAGATAGCAGGGGCACATAAACGACATACCTACTGCACAAAACCTTACGGGTTAGAAGTAAGATCCACGCTGCTAAGTAGTATGTATACTATAAAGTTTCATTTTCGGTACATTTGGATTTCTGTGTACGAACACCATTTTTAAAAACAATACCATAGGAATGACGGACAAGTCTTATTTTATACATTTTCAGATGGCATGATGACTTAAGAGTGTGGATCCCAAAGTGCCCCATTCTAAACGTTGTAGGCCCGATTCGAACATGGGTCTGTTTATTATTCGGGAGCCCTGAGAATTAATCTTGACTCTCCTATTTTGGCAATTTTAAGGTAGCCGTCAGGTACCTGGTACCGTCAGGTACTTGGTAACCACTAGATCTCCGTGCCGAATTAGTTCCTTTTTCCTCCTAACGTATAGATTAAACTTGAGTGATCTAGTTACATACAAATCTTTAAATATAATTTTATTTAAATTCACATTTATTTTACATATCATGTTTTTCCACTTGGCTCTGCGATGGTCACCACAACTTCTTAATGGATATGTTTTCCTTGTTGAGGACTTCACGAAGGTGATAAAGAGCTTCGCCATGATCGAGGACCATTGGCACATGGACTGCTGCATCCTCTTTATCATGACGCACGGTCACAGGGACAAGGTGAACCCGCACGCGGTGGACTTCGTCACCGTCGACAACAAGTTCGTGTCCTCTGATTGGGTGAAGGAGCAGTTCAACTCGGAGAACTGCCGCTCGTTGATGAATAAGCCCAAGATCATGTTCTTCGAAGCCTGTAGGTAAATTGTTACTATAGCAATATTTAAAATAGGATTAATGAGTTCTTCCCCGATCAAACTAGAGATATTCGAGCATGAACCAACTCTTTGCAATAAATCATTTTGTTGATATTCGATAACAAATAACGGGAATGAAGTAAATCATTTGGATTTTGTAATCCCAACGCTCAAATCGTTGTCAACACTTGTTTTAAACATTACTTTTAATTCAACACTGCTTCTCCCCTACTCAGACACAGTCCGATACCTTTGATTCCTTGTAGATAAAAGATTAACTAGGAAACCCCATACCAGACTAATGACAAAAGCTTAACCGACGAACTGTTACATAGACTAAACAGGCGATCTCATGTTTTAACAGAAAAAAAAACTATTGATCTACTGAAACCATTGAACCAACTTTTGATCTACCAAACTGAAATTTATGTGGACCTGCAGACTTGAACTGATAGTGGGAAACACATCCAATCCTTCCAGTCCAAAAACCTTATTTACCTCAAGGTCAAAACAGCAGTGGCCCCGAGACCTCTTGTAAATTTGTATTTAGAGTACTGGCTATGACCAGCTTCACCACTCAAGTCCTGAGTTTCAAAGGCTCTATGGGAACTCTTTGGTCCAGCTCTATGGAAACTGGTTTTTGACGAGTTGCTGGGTGTCTTAAATAAAAGAAGAGCGGTTCCCAGCTACTGCTTACGTGGGCGATTTGACCACAGTTGTGGCTTCCAACAGTAGAGCCGGTCTAAAGCGCGAGGCGGAACGGTGCGCAAACCTTGTGACAGGATGGTCTGGGAGAAAAAAGATAAAGGTAAGGAAAAAGATGCTAAAACGCAGGATATACTCCTGAGAGGGAAAACTGATAGGGCCCATCCAATCTACTGATCCACGGAGAGAGAATTCGTCCAAGTGAGGCGATAACTTACTTTGGAGTGAGATTTGGAAGAAATTTCAACATAATGCTTTACTTGGACTACTTGGCATGGTCAACCTCTCACTAAATGGGCTCAGTCGAATCGGGGGCGCTCTCTGGGGCATCAGATACCCAGCTACAATGACAATTTATAAAGGAGTTGTGCATTGTATTGTGAGGTATGCATCCCACGCCTGGTATCGTAATCTCTGAAGAAAACAGAAGAACAGGTTGGCAACAATACAGAGAACGGCTCTGCTACGGGTAACTAAAGCCTACAGGACTGTTTCACACGAGGCAATGCAGGTCGTGGCAGGAAGGGTTCCTCTCGACCTTATCCTGCTCGAAGATGTTACAGTGTTCGGCTATAAGAGAGAAGGCACGAGGGTTTGGGAGATCATGCCAGGGAGCCCAATAGATGGAAACAAATATTCCGGGAGCACACCATCAAGGAATGGAATCGACGATGGTCGACAACCCCGAAAGGGGGCTAAAGAAGTTCTTTCCGACAGTGCACTCAACATTGACTGCGAAATAGGTGCTTCCGGGCTACATGGTTTCGCAAGTCCTCACGGGACATGGAGGCTTTCGGGCCAAAACTGCACAGTTTTGGCAAGAACGTCGACTCCCTGTGTCCCAGTTGTCGGGTGCCAGAAACTGCCGAACATGTAATAACGTAATAACGACTTGCACTACATTTGGAGGATTTAGGGACAATTTAAGGAGGAAAATAAGCATGACAGTTTATCCTTTGTGTTCCTAGGTAAAGAGAGGAGGCGGCAGAAGGCAATCCAGAATGAAGATGTGGACTTCAGTTGAAGTTCCGTCTAACTGGCTGAAGTAGCTAGATAAATTATTTATTACGCTATCCTCACCAAAACCCGTATTGCCGTAAGGTAAGGTAGGGTGAAAATAAATAAATATGTTTCTCTAGTGTCCTCTCTCATTCTCCACTGCATTCATATAACTCATATCATTAATTAAAATACTTCAATAACAGTGACGCGGCTGGAAACTCCTGCAATCTTGCTTTGCCTTCCACAGTTGGAGAACAAAGCTTGGCTCAGAATTTCCTAGCCGAATGTAAATAACGTAAATAGGTATGAATATTTTAAAGAATATTCACTTTATTTTTACTCAACTTAAATCTATTTTTTCACTTATTTCTTATTTTATTCGGCCTACATGTACAGCTTCCCACTTTCATCCACGGTTATTCAATTTTTAAAATTTAAATCGTGGATGTAAAATGCTAAATCCAGTTTTGGCAAACGGCTATTAGGCATGGTCCAACCTAGAAATAAGAATAGAAAGGGCTAAGAAGAAAATCCTTCACACGATAACTATTGTGATTTGGAATCCAGAGAACTAACACATGCAGGAGAAGAGCTAATTAAGAACTATTAACAGAAACTGATCAATCAATATCTCATGAAATGGAGGCAAGGATGTCAGGATGGACTGTCGACTAATCAATAAACAAGCTGCAAAGCTGAATTCAGAAAACAACAGAGGGCAAGATCAGCGGAGATGAATCAGAGGCGATCCACCCCGAACTCCACTTTCCATAAGGGGAATCAATTTTTATTTGGGTCCAGTGAAATTAACTTGCAAGTGCTTTTCTTGAATAAAGGGGATTTTTCATCCCTATTTAATGGAATTTGTGACAATTACCTAGATAAAGTTCATTTAAATAACTGAATTTATTTGATCGAAATAAATTTATCTATTCAATTTCAGAACCAAAGGTCCAAGGGTTATGCAGGTGAAGAGGCCAAAGAAATTTCTGAAGGGCAAGATTCCACCGCACATCAGTGATATGATCTGCGTACATTCGTGTCTTCCAGGTAAATTGACATAATATATAAATATGTTAGTAAGTGACATTACCTAATACCTTTCATCAGGAATAAATGACATGTGATATTGTATATCATTACCTAAACCTAATGTTAACCAAAACTAACCCTTGTATTCACCATCAACCCAGGTGTCCAAAGGACCTCCTGGGGTACAACCAGCCACAGAGTACAGAAAAAACTAGAGGTGATAAACTTAGGGTTGGGACGAATCTCATGGAACTATTAGTGGAATGGTGCTTGAGACTGGGACCATTAGTAACTGAGCCAATAAAACCCACGTATTAGCTTTACAAGAACCGTTTGGAACTCCTTGGTTCAGGTCAAAATAACTAACTACATACACGGCAACTTGAAATAAAAAAAATGACCCGTGGTGATCCCAAAGAACTACAAATAATTATCACTCGCTAAATTTTAAACTGTGGCTAATAGTACTATTATTATTAGTAAACTTTTGCTTAAAGTAATTTGTAATCATTTTAGTAATTTTTTATTTATTTTAGTACCTTTTAATTTACTTTAAATTTGATTTCTACAAACATAAATGGAAAAACATAAAAATAAAATAATATTTATTATCAATTTTTTGAATATGGACTTTTTTTTAACTAGAATAATTTTTTTTTTAGGTAGTTAAATTAAATTGTCCCTCTTTTAAGTGTGTACTGACTTCTTAAGCCACAGCCCTACCAATATTTATAGGAAATAGTTTGTAGCACAGTATCTATCAACGATTATTGTTTTACCAAAACAATTTATTTTTAAATACCTGAAAATATTTCATTGACTAGACCAAAAAATTATTTTCTAAAAACTTTTTTTTTTATCATATCTATTTATTGAATAATAATACAATCAGCCACTGGAGGGCTATAAGTATTAGGGCTAAGAGTTCTCATTCAAACAATATATACAAATAATAGAGAAATAAATATAAATATAAAAAGTAAATAAATAATACTGATGAAGAAAGAAAAAAAAGAAAAAAAAAAAGTAAACAATAACATAAAAAGAAACTTATAAACACAATCATACCTATATACAATATATACATTCGCCCAGGAATCTCCGAGCCAGGCCTTTTCCCCCACATGTGGAAGGCAAAGCAAGACTCCAGGAGATCCCAGTGCCACTTTTCCAGCCGCATCACTAGTATTAGAAGCCAATAGAGACTGAAAGAGGGCACTAGAGCCACAGACGCTCGGGACATGAGTGGAGAAGCTGGCCATTGCCAGGACTCCAGAAGCATATTTACAAGAGATCTCTGGGCCACTGCCGTTTTAACCTTCGTGGAGTATTGTAGGGATGAAGGGAGCTGGATAGGGATTGAGCTAGAGGATTTGGATGATGGATAAGGTTTTGGTGAAAGTTTGAGAATCTGGTTGGGATGATGTCGAGGACAAATGGGATGTTAAGGTCATGGTGTAGGGTCTTGTTTGTGACATAATATGGGGCATTGACTATTGTTCTAAGTACTTTGGACTGGAAGGATTGGATGCGTTTGATATTCGAATGTTTAGCAGTTCCCCACAGTTCAAGTCCGTAGGTCCAGATAGGTTTCAGTATGGTCTTGTAGATTAAAAGTTTATTTTCAATCGAAAGATGGGATGTCCTACTTAGTAATCTATTTTCTAAAAACTGATTCACAATTATGAAAACAAAACATTTCTGTAGAAATAATTCATATGCAATTAGATTTTTTTTTTTCTATTACAAGGTTTTCATATTATTATTAACTGTTTAACTGAGTATACTAATTTAGGATAAGAAAAATGTATTTATACCGGAAAGATGAGCTACATAGAACGTTTCCCCTAGGATATGAATCGTTCACATTTTCCAAAACGGGGTCATGCTTCATACAGCAGCTCTGCGAGACGATCAGAGCAGAAGGCGCCACCTTGCATCTCATAGCCATCCTCAACAAGGTAACGTTACTTTAAACTATTAGTTATATCAGTAACTATCAGCATAGATTATCATTAGAAAATATAACCTAAAACGAAGACCTAAGTCTCTCAAATAGCAGTTTGATAGCCATTCTGTGTGTTGCCATTTCATGTAAAACATTACAGACCTTATAGATGTTTCCTCATTCGAACAAACCTTCTTCGACTAAGCTCTTCTTGGGGTCTTTGCCAGTTTGCTGCATGTTGATTTTATCTATCAATCTGATTTTAGACCTTCTAGATAGATAGATAGAAAATAACTTTATTCTGGGACAAAGTCTCTTGAGAATAACAAAATAGAACAAAATTAAAAGATTACATCTTGCCCAAAATAAAATCAATCGAAAAAAAGAAATAATGTAAAGAAAATATAAAGTAAACATTCTATATACAAAACAAACGAAACTGTATACAAAAAAATTAACACCATGACAAGACACTTAAAGCTATTTGCACTGATAGACCAGTATCCACTTTTAAGAAAACAATAAAGAATTAAAAAATAAAAATATATTAAATTCTTTATTAAAATCAGCTTTGTGTTTCTGTTGAGAAAACAGAAAGTTGAATCTGACAATATAAAGTGCCTGATTAATATATAAATACATTATCATTTGGCATTGATATTTGACAGTGAATGGCATGAAATAAATATCAATGCCTGTCAATGCCTATAAATATCTGACTTTTTTTGGGATAGGAATTGGAATAGGAGGGTTTTGAATGTGGATATGGATGGGGAATGTCGAATTTTAATAGGGAGGGAATTCCAGAAATTGACAGAGCGAGCAATAAAGGAGTTTTGGAATGAGGCAGATCCGTGAGAAGGCATGTAAAGGTTAGAAGGTCGAGATCTTGTGGACAGGGAATGGACTAAGGATTTGAACTGGAGAAGGTTGTAGGCCTTCTACGTGGTTTTTTGTCAACTATTGATACACACTCATTGTTATGTAGAGGTTTCTCGATGCATTGCTCCAAGCTACATGCTCCACCCATCTTAACTTCCTTACTTTCATGTCATAAGATATTGATGGACCAGTTTCTAGTAGCAGTTTTGTATTGGGACATGCGTTAGTACTCTCTTCCAAGATGGTTATTGAACTGAGTACTATTTTCTCAATTCACTATTCAATGCTTCTTTCAAAGGTGCAGGTGAACTTAATATACGAACACGCTACAAAGTATTTCACAGTAACTTACACCACGGGCGGATCTAGGGGGGAAGGAGCTTTCGGGCTGAAGACCCCTCCCCCTAATTGGGAAAATATAAACACTATATATATATATATAAATATAAACACCATTATATATATATATTTTATATATATATAAAATATAAACACCATTTCATGTAGGCAGTTAGTTTCTTTCTTTTTTTCCAAAGTAATTATAGTTATTTTTATGAAAAAAAAGCTTTCGGGCTGAAGCCCCCTCAAAATTAAATCCTGGATCCGCAAGTGACTTACACGGACATACCAACTCACTAATTCAAGGCATAGCCACTACCAACATGACCGATGGCACCCGTATGATGCTCAAGAGAAGCTGGATGAGGGATCTCCTCCACAAACGATAAATATTAAATCAAGACAGTAAGAGAGGCCGCGGGGCACTTTTCACCCTCACTACTAACGTCTTATTCCTTACTCTTCTCTACGACAGCACACTCAATGGTTGTATACATACCTTGCACATGTATACCAAATATGGCTTTATCATACTTAGATGAAAACCCTTAATTTCAATTTTTTTTAATTTAATTTTTCGGGATTTCAATAAGTTCGAAAGAGAGAAGACTGTTCTGTTTGCACTTATTGCAAGCTGGTATACTCCAGACCATTGGACATTCATTGAGGTTATTATGAAAGCGAAACATTTCAATCTATCTACTTTCAAGATAGGTTTTAGTCAAACACTGATCCTGTTATTGTGAGGTGATGATGTTTTATCTTTATTTACTTGTAGAACGATTTGCTCTGCTTCTCTTACCAGGGCCTTAGAGGGTCCCTCAATGTCCTTGATGAACAGCCGCAATTATAAAGAGAACCTCGCCACTACTGTTACCGAGTTACCAAAGTTAATACTGAAGACACTTCTTGGACTAAGGGCTAAATCAATACAAATCTTTACTAGAAAAATCTTCAATGATTAACTACCACATAAATCCCTATTGTTTCCAGGTGGATATGAAGCTGCGGAAGCGATTCGTCGAGAAGAGCACGACCCCCTACCAGGCGCTCTACATTGAAAACTGGAGCTTCAACAAGCTCATGTTCCTCTCGAGCCACGCCGTCAGGTACTACAAGGCCGCCTGGAAAACCCTCGGTGCCAAGAAGAGCGAGTCGAAGTACGAGAAGCCGCCAGCATCGAGGCCGCTGTTGGTAAACAAGGAGGAGCTGAAGAGGGCCCTGGCAGGTCGGTGAAACCTCTTCAACCTGAATGTGATTATAATATTTGGTGGTATATGAAATGCCGTGCATTCATTTCTTACCCCCAGTATAATCAATGGAATAGTACAATTATACCTAGTTCTGCCTTAAATACTGTTACAAAAATTGAACTTTATTTAACATCCTTGGGTATTATTTAGATAATCCTTACCTCTATCATTTTCTTTACATGACAGGTAATGATCCCAATTAGTTTGTATTTTTCTAGATATGATTGCCTTACACAAAGTTGGGACATGTAGGTCAGAGATTTTCAACACTTTGAAACCTTTGGGAATCAGTAGTATGTTCGTGTACCACACCATAAATAGATATAATGAGACCCTATCTGTATGTGACAGACCTCGACCCGACCGTCCCCGCACTGTGATAACGGCAACTGCAGTGGCTGCTCGAATCAGAAGAAATCCCATTCGAAAACAACAAACCATGTCCTGGATGACAAAAAGTGACCTTAGGTGCGTTTCAAAGAATGACAGGACAAAGGCTAACCACTTCCCTAAAAAAAATTAGACTGTATAGATGCAAAGTACTCCTTGCTGTTACACCAATGGTCTTCATTGAAAGTTTTGTTTAGCCATGAGAACATTTTTACAATTGAAGAAAAACTTAATCGCCAAAATGATCGTGTGTACGCACACAGCTCTAAAGAAGCTCAGGAAGTCAACACTCTTCCTCAGTGATGGGTAGTTTGCTTTGATGGGACCACAAAGCTCCATTATTTTTAGGAGTTAAAACAGCCGCTAATAACTATCAGGACGATATTTTGGAACCTGTTGTCAGGCCTTTAAATGATACTCTGTTTGCTGGAAGTCATTGGGTTTTCCAGCAGGATTCCGCTCCAGCTGACAAGGCCAGGTCAACTCAGCAGTGGCTGCAAAAGAACATTCCAGAGTTCATCTCTGCCTCGGATTGGCCCTCAGGAAGCCCTGACCTCAACCCACTAAATTAACGGCTTTGGTCCGAACTGGAGAGGATGGTATGCCACAGAGCACACCCTAACTTTGAAAGCCTCAAACAATCTCTGGTCCGAGCAGTTGAGCGCTTTCCTCGTGAAGTGCTGCGTGCTGCTATTGATGGCTGGTCACGGACATTAAATACTTGTGTCGAGGCAAAAGGGGGACATTTTGAGTAATTTATTTTACTTTCTATATATTTTATTTTCTAATAAAGTTATTGTAATAATTAATTTTTCTGTTGAAATCTGTTTATATTTCCTTGTAACAATATTTATGACAGGGCTAGGTAGATATGAATGGGATAGAGGACCTGTCGTAATGTAAAGATGAAAAGGAGATATATTAAAATATTTTATGTTATATCAGCCTATGGTACAACCACCCTCTTTTCATCTGCTATTTTTGGCATACAGGTCCCTGTCAACAATGGAGAAACGTTGCTGACAATTTTCGTTTAAATTTATTTATTGAGTAATTTATTATGTCACATAGAAAATAATTATATTAACCATTAAAATAACAAAAATCCTGCTAATTATATAATGACCTCGTTACTCCATCTCTTTTTGTAAACCATATAACTCCAGTCTTTGAGCTTTATATATAATATATATATATGCCTATGGAGATTTCTATATAAGTATATATATATTCAACCTATAAATGATTATAGATTATAAGTCTATTACTTATTAAACCGTTATTTCCCATTGTAAAGTTTACTAAAATGAAATTCCGAGATTTACATTGCCTACCATAGGTATGTCAAAAGTTTTTACACTAATTGTAAGGGAATAATGTTGGGGATTTTACAAAGGGAAAATTCAAAATTACTAATCATTAAATTATTCACTAATTAAATTTTCTAAACGTTTACATGACGTATATGTGTATAGTATATATCCTATAAAGGTAAGTGAAAGTAAAAATAAAATAACTAAAATATAAGTAAATTAAAAACAAATAAATAAAACACAGATCTATCTATATACGCTATTTACAATCAGGCGATGGAAATCCAAGTAAGACTGTGTAAGTCTGTCTTTGCCTCTGGCTACAGAGGGGAAAAACAGAACTCATGGAGATCCCTATTCTAGTCTCTCAACCGGTCACTTGTGCTAAATCCAGTGGAGAATGAGCAATAGCGCTTTAGCCACATACACTCATGTCTTAAGTGGAGAATTCGTCCATTGCCAGAACGCTAATATATACATAGTACAAAATGTCGCGGGACCACTGCCTTTTTAATGAAGGCAAATTAAAAAGTTCTAATTTGTTTTGCCACGTTTAATTTTCATTGCAATATAGCTATTTGGCTATTAATGATTTTTTGATATTTCAACTCAACATTACAAGTTTTCTAAATTAAATAAAAATAAACTAAACTGTTTGTAGTCAAAACCACACATCAGAGTATTGTACATTTTGTTTAAATGTTCAAATTCCATTATATTCAATTGATGACCATCCCTTTTTTGTAGGTATCATAGAAAATAGACTGGTACCTGAATACAAAAAGCGACTAACTGCGGCTTTGCCTGATGATATGATTGAACAGGAAATTACTTAATATCTTATAAGTCTACAAATATTCTAAGTGTTAGAATAATGTAAACCTGGAAAATATGTTCTGTAAATGGTCACTGGAACACTCCTAATAAACATGTGATGAACCTTAACTTGTGTCATAATTATTTAAATAAATTGTGTCATTTTACTTAATTATTTAATAAGCCTTAAGTGATTACTTGGATCTGCCTAATCGCTTTGGGAGAAAGTCAAATAAACTGTTTTTTTGCGATTAATGTCAAAATTAAAGTCAACTAACAGATTTTTGATATTGACTGTTTATTGCTAAAATTCATTAAGTGACTTTTCATAACTTTAAATCACCAAGAATTTTACTAAGTTTTCTTTTGTCATATAAAAGGATTTATATCATTTTTATGTACTAATGGTGTTTCTTTATTTATAGATAATTAATGTTGAAAATAACTTTCTACTAAGTTCACTAACATAAAAATGCACTCATGTTAATGTCTTTTGCAATAAACCGGTGATATACGAATATTTCGTAATCGCACGGCACTATTTCAGCTATCTGTTCACTAACACAAAATAAACAAAAAAGTTCATATTAACATACATCCCAAACTCGTTTATTAAACAGATACCAAAGGTTAAAGATTTATTATTGATTATTATTACAACATTTAGAGTAACTGTTCAAAGGGGCCTCCGTTTTGTTGAATGCAACATCAGCACGACGAATCCATGCTTTTCTGGCTCTTCGTATAGCATCAGGATGGTTCTTGATAGTTACTGCGGCTTCGATCCGATTTCTTAGCTCTTTTTGCGTGCCAACTGCCGCAGAATAAACCATAGACTTCATCCAGCCCCACAAAAAATAATCTAATGGCGTTTTTAAATCCGGAGATAGTTGAGGCTATTTAACAGGTCCGTTTCGACCAATCCATCGGTATCCAGAAAAGTGAGCTGGAGCATGCATAAACCACAGCCTTTGCCTAATGCCTAGCGGAATATCTTCTAGGAGTTCATGAAGATTATTTTGCAAAAATGCAAGTAAGATATGCCTGACAGCCTAGGTGGCAAAACGAAGGGGCCGTTGATCTGGTCGCTTAGGATACCACACCAGATATTTAAAGAAAAGGTCTGTTGGTAATGTCCAACAGCAGTCGTATGAGAGTTTTCTTCAGCCCAAGTATGGGTATTTCAAAATATAAGAATCCCGTTTCTTGTAAAGCAAGATTCATAAGAACCAAAATGCAGTCCATGAAGTTAGGAACTCGTGTACATTGTTGAATTAACCACTGGGAGACATTTCTGCGCTTGTGGTAACAAATCTTGCCTACTCGATACGTGAAATGGATACAATTGTTGTTCACGTTCGCCATACGATGATAGAGGAAACATCGAAACAACTTGACAATCTTCTGATACAAGTAGTAGGAGATAATTGAACAGCATCGAGTATTTTTTTTTCAATGTTTGCATCTCCTCGAAATCATTGTCGACCAGCGTTTACTCGTATAGGTTTTAACTTGCCATTATCCCTAAGGCGTCTTTCAATGGCCTCAAACATACCTTTGAACAGCAGCAGCGCCGTTTCTATGTGCCTCGCCATAAGATAAAAGCATATCTGTTTGTTCTGCAAAAGTGAATACATTTATGGTGTCTCCCATGATAACCATAAATTGAACTGTGTCACAGTATTCACTCACACTAAAACACACAGAACTAGAAAAACAGATGAGCAACTACTGATATTGCTTATCGTTCATTTGTTTATCAGGTGATTAAAACCTGTTATTTAGTATTAAACACGTAAACTTCGTACAATCAGTCCTGATGTAGTAAATAAATAATAAATCTTTAACCTTTGGTATCTGTTTAATAAATGAGTTTGAGATATATGTTAATATGAACTTTTTTTTATATCCTTAAATATGCCCATTAAGAAAAAATAAATAAATAAAAAAGATTTATTTTCACGAAAATGTATCAAATAAAAGGTTTGGGTAAGATTTCTTTGATGACTAAAGCAGCATAAACCAGCTTGTGGAAGATCGGCGGAAAAAAATCCAAAACACTCTAATATTGCTAATCAAAAACTTTAACTTTTTTTCGTACAATAATTTTGGACTTAGAGGGCTCTGAAACTTATAGATCTGTCGAAAACTGCACATCGGAAATTCGAAACGATCGCAATACTTCCCTTACCTAGTATAAGTAGAAAAGTAATAAATTAAAATATGTGTAGAAAATAGAATACGCTGTATTTTCAAAAATACTGCTTGGATTCCGATGATTATTTTTTTGTTTCGTAGGTAATTTAACAGCCTTTAAAAAGCTGGTATATACATATACCATGAAATATAGAATTAGCTAGTTAGGCCCAAAAAACATTATTATTTTCTTTATAACTTTTTTTCCCTGAAATTTCTCGGAAATTTAGTACATGTACGAAAATTGAAAGGACATTAAGTAGAAAATTATCACCATAAAGGAAAGTTTCATCAAAATCATTAGAACTTTATTTGCGCTACAGTCTATAGAAAAATGTGTTTTTCACTTATTGAGCAAGGAGCATCAAATTTATGTCACAGGCATCAGTAGTCAAAACGCTACAAAATATAAACACAAGAAACAAAATCGGTCTACCAGTTCCCGAGATAATCTTAGCACAGACAGATAGACCAATGGATGAAAATGTGTTTTTTCGGACTCAAAAGGTCTGAAACGTATAGATCCGTCGAAAACCGCACATTGGAAATTTGACCCGATCGCAATACTTCCCTTACCTAGTATAGGAAGGAGAGTAATAATAAATTGTCAAAAACAACACATGTGAAAGAAATTGAGCAGTTAGATTTATTTTAAAATTGTATTCTATTTTCTCAGCAAAGTGTTGATGAAACAGTTAAATCAGTTTTCATCTGTTTCTACACAAAAAATAAGGAAAATACAACCTCAGTTCATGCTTCTTTATAAAAATTGAACTCAATGCACTCAAATTCTTTACATCTCATATAATGGTAATTTAAACTAATATTGAAATAAATATGAAAAACTAGTGAATTTTATTATATCCATCTTCAGTATTATCATGTCGCCTACTTCTAAAATCACTTAGTGACTGCAGGAAGCTGGCAACACAGAGTGCTCTGTATAACCTTGCAAGCTGTCAACGCTGTGTTTGTAAAGGTGCGTTCAGACATTTCGCAAACTACGACAAACACAGTTTATGGTGGATTAAGTCTATGATTAATTAAAAGGTTATAAAATTTTCGGCAAAAAAAAAAAATATATATATATCGGAATGGGACCATTATGAGCAAATATATAGACTACAGTAAACTGTACCATTTTAATTCAAACAAGAAACGGAAAATTTATTTCTCCACATAATAATAGATTTCATTAACATATTTCAGTACTTTTTTTATCAATTGTTCAGTGACCAATATTTTATGCGAATTATTCGCACGGACCAGCTAGTTATTGTATATTTGTTTGTCCCATAATTTCTGAAATGTCTTACTGAAACGTACCTTAACCTTTTAGGGAACTGTTGTTAACTGAATTAACTGTGATACATCATCTGTATTGTTATTGGTGTGTAAATATAAAGTCTTTAAAAAGAGTAATGATTGTATTAATAACTAACGAACCTATATATCTTTATCTGATTTTCATATCGTCAGTTATGTTCCAATAGGAATAAATAAAATTAAGACGCAGACGAAGGTATTTAGTTATCATGAAAGCATTGCAACAGCTGTTAAGTGGAAATTCGCTGGATTTTATACAATAACTTGACCGTAACCTCCCACAATTTGGTATGAAGTAAACAAGATAAATTATTAATTTTTATACAATACAGTTCTAAATTCTAAGTGGCAATACATGGAATCGGTAATTAATGTATTAAATTCTTAAGGGGTTTGCGTATTTACAATAAATTTATATTTAAAAAAGACTGTGGATATTCGTCAGTAAAAGTTTTCAGTGATTGAGTTTTTTGTTTTTTATGATTTTAATATCCCGCTGTTATTTGAAGAAAACTTGTTATAAAACTATTGCTCGGGTTCCAATTTCAGTAAATGTTTACGCAGTAATCCAACGATAAAAGTGATACAAAAATAAAATTACCAGAGTAGATAGTACATAAATTTAAAATTTTGTAAACTTTGCGGACTTTACTTTGGTCTTAGTTTTATAAAAATCAAATGCCTAGTTTTAATCAATTATAAAATTCGTGGGGAGGAGGTTATTGTAAAAGGGTTATTATATTTCATATACACTAAATATAATAATTAAATTTTAATATAATTTTTAAAGGGAAATCTTGAATTAAAATTTTAAATAATTAATATATATTTTTCAGACTTATAACCTCCAATCTACACCCAAAGGCTACGTTTTGATCATCAATAATGAGACGTTCACGGAAGGAGATTACGAGAAGAGAGAAGGCTCGGAAAGGGATTACGATGATCTCAAATGTTTATTTAGAGGCCTCGGGTTCAAGTGTAGGAGTTACTACAATCTCAACTACAAAGTAAGCAAGCAGCAATAATATTATCTATCTTTGTCTGCAGTTGTTCTCATCAGTGGAACCTTTGTCTCATCTTCAATAAAATATGATATATTTAAATAAATCCGAGTATTAAGATTACTTTAGATGGCTTGTTCCACTTTGTATATGTGGGTACAAGATCACATGATCACACTATTGACAATGTTTGGCCATAAAATAAGGATGTAATCTCCCTTAACTTATGGCCTTAATAGGCTTTAATTACATCACTGCTGTCGACTTCCACCCGCTACAAAGGGATAATAATAAGCTGGGGTGCCAATCCCAACATGGACGATGGCGCATGAACCTTCCCCAATCTTCTCAAGATATTTTATTGCTCTCCTATTTTTAATAACATTGCAAGCTGAGGTAGAATTTTAAAAATCATAGGTCATATACAATTACACTTTCAGTGGTATGTTCTATGCTTTCTTCTTGCCTTCTGATATGAAACTTTTCATTTAAAAAATGTATAACCCCGTTGAAATGTGCCCACCTCGTTAATTCAAAACCCCATCAAAATGTACCCTTCCCCCCAAAAATTGTTATGGCGCAACTTGGGCCATAATACGTACTCCTGAGTACCTCTACCCTACAGGTCCTTTTCAGTTGAGTTTGGGCCCTTACCAGATGGTTAGGACAACTCCGCCTACTTTTCGGATACTTTCGACAATTCTCGGACTTAAATCTATAGTGTGATTATGGATATTTTGATATTTGTACAGTAGTACCCTCATGTGTTGTTATATATAAACTAGCTGTTGACAATTTTTTTCGAATGTGTTTGGATGCATCAGTACATCTCAAAAGGAATTTAAACGTTCTTCATCCATCTATTACAATCGTCCACAGAAATAAAATCCAAAAGTCAGTTCTTAGCCGCTATGAATACGCAAAAATGAACCAAAGTTATTTATAACACAAATGCCAGAAACTATTTATTTTATTAACAAACAAAACACACATATGTTGCAATAATAAGGTGATTTTTAAAAAGGTGTGAATCCACATCTATACAATCACGGGAACGAACTTTAAAATTCGTTATAACGCATCTTAAAGGCAATAGTTAAAGCTATTAAAATGTGAATATGCTGTCTTATTTTAGCTTCTAGAATTTTACTATTGAATGTTTTAGGTTGTCATCAAAACATATACAAGAACATGAATTACATGTTAAAAAAAATGAATCTCTTAGAATTATTTTTATCTACAGAGATTTTGCAGATCTTTTGTCCCCTTAATCAGCCACTTCTATCCCTATTTTAGTTAATTTTTTTATATTATCTGCATGTAGCTCTATATATAATATTATTTCATTTTTAATTCGATCGATTCATCTGATTTTTGGCCTTCCACGTGGTCTAAGAATGCCTACTATTGAGGCATTCTTTGTTATGTATAAGATTTTTAATGGATTGCTCCGAGCTACATGCCCCCGATATCTTAACTTCCTTGCCTTTATATCGTGAGATACTGATTGGCCAGTTTTTGAAAGTAGTTCTTCATTAGCCTCCTCCATACATTAGTACTTCCAGTTATCGTGTGGAGGATGTTTCTCTCAAATTTTTCAATACTCCTTTCTATAGTGCTGGTTAGTGTTCAGGTCTTGCAGCCGTTTATCAGAGAATTTTACGCATAAATTTGAGATTTCTTGATTTTTTTCTAGATTTTAATATCTTTGAAAGATAGAAGAATGCTCTGCGCTTTTTAAACGCCAGTCAAATTACGACAGGTGGTCATTACTTGAGCTTATTGTGTAGCCGAAGTATACTACTCTGAAGACCCAGAGGTTAACAAAGAAGGTTAACTTTCTTTTTTTTTTTTTTTTTTTTTTTTTTTTGGTATTAAAATTAATTGATCTTCTTAATAGGCCAATAATAAAGCGATTGTTTCACAGGATTTTACGAAAGTGGTTCGTTCTTTCGCGCTGATGGACGACCATTGGAAGGTGGACTGCAGCATCCTCTTCATCATGACGCACGGCCATAAAGACCGGGTGAACCCACACGCGGTGGATCTCGCAACCACCGACAACAAGTTCGTGTCCACCGATTGGATAAAGGAGAAGTTCAATTCGGAAAACTGCAAACCTTTGATGAACAAACCGAAAATTATGTTCTTTCAAGCTTGCAGGTAAATCGTAGATAATGGATATTAATAAAAAAAAATATTTATATGTGATTTATAATCTGTTGTGATTTAGGGACAACGGGCACAGCCAAATGCTAGTGAAAAGACCGAAAAGATTGCATGCTCAGGATGGAGCACAGCCACACATCAGTGATTTGCTGGTCATACACTCCTGTCTGCCAGGTTAGCAGTTATAATTATTTTACAATGCCGTAATATATTAATATTGTATTAAAATATAATTACAACCTTTTATCAATAAACAAGTAAAAATTGATTATTCGAATACTCAAAAATAAATATTTTTAATATTCGTTATTTGGCATTGGGTATTTCTTTTGTCTTTGATATTTTAATACTTAAAAAAAAGTTATTTGTAGGTTAGCTGTTTCTTCTTTGGCTTATTAGTATTCATTCATTTTGAATAATAACTTCATATGCGTTCATCTAACCATAAACTTCTGAGCTTGATCGAGGGGTGGAAAGTTGATAATTTGCTGGTGGGGTGAAAAAAACAGCTCAGTTAAAGATAGAGTTGGAATTACTTCTGATGTGAAGTGCCTATTCATAAAGCCCGTAACCAGTGATAAGGTTGAAATCTCGGAAACAGTGGCGTAAATAACGTAATCCCCAAAGGCAGGTCTTTGTCTTCTAATTTTATGAAGAGTTGAAGCGGTTTTATCCTCCTATCGTCGTAAGTATTTTCTGGCATCCGAGCTCTTCCAAGTGATCCAATTCATATACATCTCCGAGCTCCTACAAATTAAATCTTGTTTCTCTTTTCATCTTCGTTTTTCAGACCTGTATACTAGGCCCTACCAAATCAGTTTGTTTTTCTTTCATTACCTTCTTTGCCTGTTAGACTATACGAGGTTTCTCTGGGTCAGATATGAGAGCGGAGGATTAATACCAGAAATCGAATCCCGTCTCCGACACTAGGACACGAACTCGTAATTATTGTTATCATGATATGTGGTTATCAGGCAGCTCGGCAACGCGGTGCAGTGCACAGATTTATAGCAGATCTTTCATTATTCACTCCTCTTCTCTGTGGAACTCCATCCGTTCCTACTTCCATCTCTCCATTATCTCCCCCACCTTTAAATTCCGCCTATTCAGTCACTTGTCATTCATCAAATTACTATAAAATTGTAAATTATTAGTTCGATTTTATTAATTTAAGTGAATTAATTTTTTCATTTTATTAATGTTAAAAGTTAACTTTATAATTCATTTTTATTTCTATTTCTTTATTTTGTTGTTCTATTAATACAGCTCTGAGGCTCTAGGCCTAAAATTCTGTTTCTGTATTTTATACAAAAAGGACTTGTCCGGAGTAAATTAACATTGTTATTATTATCATGACTGCTTAACTGTATGCATTGACATATTATACCAGAATAGAGGTAATTCAGAAAATTTAACCTATGGTGTCAGTGTAGCCAATGATAATTGAGCAGTAAGTAATCAGAAAAGTCCTATAAGTTCTAAAATTGTCATTATTTGGTTAGTTGTAAACACATGGTAAAGGATGTAACTGTGAGAAACTTTTTCCGCAGGGTACGGCGCCCATAGGAACTCGAAGTACGGAGCATGGTTCGTTCAAGAGCTGTGCAGCGTTATCCAGCAGGAGAGCAGCAATATGCACCTCATCAGCATACTTAACAAGGTAAGGTACCTCTACTGAAACTGAAACTGTTCTTTTCGCCTTCACAGGTAGCGTTCGCCAGATGCCACGGTCTTGTGCAGTCGCTAGCTAATTCCAAAGCGTTGACCAACCTCCCTCCAAGGGCGAAAGCTACCCCCCTCCCCCCCAAAATTAATTTCTCTTCTATTCTTAAGACCAGTGCAAAGGAAGTATATTTTAAACAGTTGTATATCATAATCAATTATTCTTTCTGTCTGGTCCATGTTTTTCTCTTCTTCCTGGTTTTTCCCTTTCCTTTCGACCGATCCAGTTTCCCAAACAGTAGTTTCTTGAAGATTTCTACTTCAATCAATCTTAAGGATTGGTGAAAATCGAATCGAAAGATATTGATTTTATCTAATTCTATCTACTCTTGCAATTGTTTGCAATGCATTTTCCTTGAGACGAATCTACCTCAAAAACAGCACATTCTCAAAGTTGGAGAAATATTATACGAATGGTATAGTATCAGTTTCATCAAATACCATTTAACAATTAAATGTAATTGTTAACAACCTTGTATTGTAGTTCTCATCCTGATTGTTAAAAACATAATATCTGTGAAATGTGATTGGTAGTACAAATGGAATGGCTCCCTAGCCTATCCATTTCTGTTCGCCACACTTTATAAAACGAACTGCGTTCACTTACCCTTCGTTATTAAAAGATACATACATATGCTTACAGGATACAAATATATGCTTTCAAATCATTCTAATGAAGAGAGGAAAGATCTTTCTGTTCTGTACTAGCCAAGAACCACATCTCTGAAACATGGATCAGTTCATGTGTTATAAGTGTTTTATACAGATAACATTTGGCCTGATGAGACAAAGCCTTATGGCTAAGTTGGTTTCACAATTCAAAATATCATTGTTTTTCCGTATTCTTTGGTCGGTCTCATAAAATATCGTTGTAGCGGTCAATTACTTCACCTGCCCGCTAGCTGGTACCGCCACATGTACACCTTCGATCATTGTACCTACAAGTGCTACTTTTATTTTACATATTATTTTAATGTGAAAAACTGCAGTAAAAACTTGTATAAATTTATATTTATTTATAAGGTATCCGAGCTTAAAAATAACAGTAACTTAAATAAATTGTTAGTCAATGTTATAATGGCATTTTTAACTGATACAAACATATAAGGCTAAACCATTCATTGCAGAAACAGAGTCCCCTGAAAATGTTTTCGCTATTCATTCCTATTCTGCGCAGCAGCCATCTTGTTTCGGGTCGCCCCATTCTTCTAGCTTTATAAAAAGTGCCCATAGCTAATTTTCTAAGGATTCGTGCTCATCTATCCTGGCGAGATGTCCTACCCATTCGAGCCTCCTCAGTCCAAACGTCTTAGCTGCCTTTTCTAGTTGAAGAAATGCTTCCTTCCTTCAACGCAGTTTGAGATCTGGCAACAATATCGAAATCATCAGCCTATCCGAATATCTGGACGGTTCTGTTGAAAATCGTGCCCCTCGTTTGTATTCCAGATTCCTTCTCTGCCCTCTCCTTAGCAAAATTTAAAATAATACATGCTAGAGCATCTCCTTGCCTTACTACTGTACTGGAATCAAATTCTTCGCACATGTCTAATCCAACCTGCACCATGCATTTTGTCTTTTTCATCGTCATTTCGGAGGAATATTGAGATCATATAAAGCCTGATACAACTCTGGTCGGTCCGTCGGAAGAACCGCTGAAGAGCACCCGATCTGTTCAAGGATAGAACGTTCCAAAAAGCTAGTTTCAAGTCATAGTGACGGTTCCTGGGTCTTTTCCAAATGGTCAGTCGAACTTCAGAGATTTTTTTAGATAACCTTTTAGATATTTCTGGATAAACTGTATTTAGAGGGAGTTATCAGCCTTGTCCCCGAGTCAGGTGGAGGAACTCCATCATCCGCTACCAGAAATTGAGAAATCTTCTCTCAATTTCTTTTGGATTTCGCTTCGGAGAGCTCGAACCTATCTCTTCACAGTGATCAGTTTATCATTTTATGTATTTTTTGGAATCTTATCAATCTGATTATTTCTTTGTTATATTTACTCATAACCCTTTCTCCTTCTCCCTACTCCATTCATGGTTGTCCGCTTGTAGTCTTTCCCACCAGGTCTGGAAATTCATATCTCAATTTGTGGTTACCGTTCGAGCAAACTCAAATATTTTATTTTTTCTTGTTTTATAATCAGTACTATATCCGCAGCTTATTACATCATTTTCAGTAGCAATATACCAATTTTATAAAAGTAGATATCGAAGTACATTATCTTATAGGGTAATTAATTAATTTAATTAATATAGACAGATAGTATAGACTAATTTTCATTGTAGGTTTTTATTTATTTTATTAGTAGTGTAATATATAATGTTAATTAATTTCAATTGCAAATAAATAAATCCTGATGCAAGGTGGATATGAACCTGCGACAACGTTTCGTGAAGGAGAACGGCAGTTGCTTCCAGGCAGTGTACTTCGAGAACTGGAGCTTCAACAAGCTGCTTTTCCTCAGCGACGAAGCCCAGGGCTTTCACAGGGCAGTCACGACGATGCTGGAGATGAGCAACAAGAAGCGGAAATTGAGGAAGAAGCCGCCGGCTTCTAAACCGCTCATGATAACCAAAGGGGAAGTAAAGAAGGCACTGACCGGTAGGTATGGGGTACTCGGGAGGTTGAAGTAGTAAAGATTTACGGTTGATTTCTTTCAATATTAATTCACTTGTAACACAGTTTTGGGTTTTGTTTTATTATTGTAGAATAGTTGATACGTAATATGAAGAAATGTATTTGCCAATATATCTCCACGAAAATGGCAAGGACCAAGTATAGTATGCATAGTGGTTTCCTCAATCAAACTCTATCCGATCGTTCCTTCAAAAAGGAATACTTTTATGAAACTTAATTAAAAAAGACTTATATCAGCCGATTTGATCGCAAAGGCGCTTCTATAAAACAATAATAGAAACAGTCCTTATACTTCCTATACTTATAATATGCTCAATAGATACGAATATTTTAATGCACTTTCCTGCCAAATTTTAAGAGAAGAATAAACTCAAATCGAATCTGTAATCAAATTTTCTAACTAAAAGGAATCCTTTTACATTAAGTCTCATAAAAGTATTCCTTTTCGACGCAACGATCAAGAAAAGTTGTAGAAAATTCATATTACCCTGAAGAATATTTGTAACAGTGTATGTGAATAATATTTGATAGTACCATTACAAAATAAATTTTGCACACCATAATCGAGTAAATAAATTTTTTTTTAAAAAGGCAAAAATTAAAAAAGATATACTAACATTTCTGTTACGACGTTATTGGAAAAGCCTGTTAAATAGCTAACCAATCAACAATTCGCCAATATAGGCATCATCAGAAATACAAAACTTATGATCACATAAATGCCGACCAGACACCACACTTCTCACTTCACAATACAAAAAATATCCAAATAAATAGATATAATGTTTCTCAACTGATTTAGGTTAGAGAAAAGTGGTGGTAACGTAAAATGCTGCGATAAATGATAATGTTCTAACACTACATACCACAATCAGCTTGGGAGCAAAATGTTTTTATTTTGAAAATTGTTTCTCACTAACGAGGGAAGGGATGTGCGAATATCTTGTTAGTTCCATATTAATTCCTCCAGCTTCTTTTGCATTCCTCCGCAAACCCGTTAATGTATTTTCTTAAGACACTAAAATATTTTAAAAACGGCTCATTCGATTTGGTATTTGGAAAAACCTTGTGGAATAGTGAAAATTATGCTGTATTAGTTCTATGAAATCCCATCTACTTCTGCCTATTACTCATTTAATAAACTTATTATACCTAAAAACTTATTTTCCTTGATAAGTCTCATATCTCAAAAACCGCACGTTCTTTTTGGCCAGCAGTTTGAGGAAAGTTTAAGAATTGATGAAAATCGAATCGAGAGGTTTCGATTTTATCGATTTATCTACTCTGCAATTGCGTTTTTCTTGATACGAATCTACCTCAAAAACAGCTCGTTCTCAAAGTTGGAGAAATAGGGTACGAATGGTATTGTATCAGTTTCATAAAATACCATTTAACAATTAAACTGAATGTACCTGGTTGATAAGAACATAATGCCTGTGAAACGTGATAGGTTGTAAAAATGGAATGGAAACATATGAAAATGTAGGAAGTATTTATTTATCTTTACATATTATTTTTCAAAGTTATTTTTCTGTTAGTATGTCATCCTCGTTAATTCATCCGATAACGAATAATCGAAGATAAAATAAATACGTGTTCCAGTCCCGGTGTAGGGGAGAAAGGGGCTTTTAACTATAGCATCAATCCCCCGTCCTAGCCCCTGACCTGGGGAAACCCCGTACAGCTTAAAAGACGAGGAAAGAATAAGAAAAAATATTCAATGAATGATCCATCATTTCGAAGATTATCTTCTCCTTCAGGCGCGAATAATCGGCTCATTAATAAGAGAAAAAAATTTATAAAGAAAAAGAAACTCTAAAAAGTATATAATTATTATTAGATTATACCCACGATAATTTTGAAAATTTTTTAAATGTCCTACAAATTAAAAAAAAAAATTCAACGTGGTTCATTTTTAACAAAGGTAATGCGCATTTTTTTTTTTTTTTTTTGTCGTCTTCCCTTATACGAGGTTTTCCCGGGCCAGGCGTGAGGGCGCAAAAAAACTGCTACAGACTTAAAACTTCTGTTATCAGAATGCCGAGCAACGCGGTACTGTCACGCGTTAGTCCGCTCGAGCACCTCTCTTCCCTCTTAAGATAATTCCAATTATAGTTTTTATACGTTTTTTTTTATATTATATTTGAATATTAATAATAATTATTGTAATCGACCAAGAAAAAAAATATTCAACTAAAAGTATATTACGTTTCCTGATTTTCGTATCATACTGCGATTTATTCACTGAGCTATTATTTACGGTTATAAGATTTCAGATTGTATTACAAATTTTAATTTTAATTGTATTTTGCTGTGAGTGTTGATTCCTACTTCGTCAAATATCGATTTCAAATTCAGCTATATCCTTCGGTTAGATGCGTCCTTTACTTTGATAATACTTTACATCAATAACATCTTCTCCTGTAGATTTTATCCTCTAAAGACATTTCGTAGACCTCGAAATATATATAATTATATAAGTAATATAAATGGTGTGGAAGATATACTGACACACGGCAGTTTTTTTTTTTTTTTTTTTTTTTTTTTTTTTTTTAGAGGCACTAAACGTGAAATTCAAGATAAAAATATGGAACCGGGTTCTCTTTAGCTGGTCCGTCAAATTGTAGGGGTGTAACTGGCGGAAGAAAAGTTAGGGGCAGAACAACATGTTTCATTTTGTAATCAATTTGTAATTATTTTCTCTTAATAAAATTAACTTTTGGATTGTAACCAGTGTTCCATTTTTTTTTTTAATAAAAAATAAATAAATAAATGAAATATTTAAAACAGTAAAATAAGCAATAAGGAATCTCAAATTACATGTACCTCAAGTCAGGGACGCCATTTTGATTTTTAAAATAAAACAAAAAAAAAAGGAGGCTAAATCTTACAGAGACCGAACAAAAACGTTTAAAAATAATAATTTGTCATGGTGGTTATGAAATTGATTGATGTGTATGTGTGTGTTTATAAGAGACAAACAGTTTTTAGGCCTAATATTTACGCTTTCACAAAAATAATTGGAGCAATCAGTAGTTTTCTTGATGTTGAACGTAAATTTTAGTAAGAAATATTTACTTTGTCACTATATATAAATACATATTAATTCCTATGATGGAGATGTGGCAGAAAAAAAAAATCATAACCACTTTACATGCAAAATATTTAAAAAATAATTATTTTTAAATGTTTTATTTAACGAATTTTTTAATTTAAAGTCCTCATTAAACCACTTTGGACATATGGAATCGAACTATGGGGAACAACAAAGAAATCAAATATAAAAATCATTCAGTCATTCCAGTCAAAAGCCCTTCGGAAAATTGTAGACGCACCCTTTTATGTTTCAAACCTCACGTTACACACTGACCTTAACACTCCTTTCATCACGGCAACTGCCACTGACCGCTTTAATAATTTTCATGACAGACTGACTCTAAATTCCAATCCACTTACTCATGCTTTATCTACTGCCACAAATCCATATAATCCGCCCAGAAGACTGCTGAGGCGCTGGCCAAGAGACTTATTGCATTGAGCTACTTGCTGCATTATCTTTTCTTTTTTGTGTGTGTGTTATTCTATTAACATGTATGTGTTATTATATTACTGGTTTTTTTTTTTTTTTTTTTTTTTTTTTTTTTTTTTTTTTTTTTTTTGTTATTACTATTATTTTTTTTTCTTATGCTATCATTTCTTGTCCTTGATATCATATTTGCTGAATACCAATGTAGAGGGCAAATTTATTGTGAGCCAGAAATATGTATATCTAATAAAGGAATGTTTTATTATTATAAATAAAATGTTTTTTTAGGCAATTATGTCTATTACAATACATTCCATATCACAAAACAAGAAATAAAAGCTTTGCAACAGTTAATTTCAGCCATTTTTGTAGAAAACAGGGGTACTAGAAGGTGATTGGATAGGAAATCATTTCTTTACACAACTTGAGGTGAATCTCAAACTTTGTCCTAATAAACCGTAACTTAATTAAATAAACCTTAACTTAAATAATATGACATAAAGCTTATTAAATGATGAAGTTTTTGTAAAAGCGGGATAAATTCAGTACAGTTAAAATTTGATTTAAAAAATTACAAATAGTTTATGACTTTTTAACGATACTTAGCTGTGTTTGTCCGCTAAACAGTCCTCTTTAAATGGTTTTAACAACGACAAATTCTACCTTCATTTCAAGTGAATTGTATCTAGTTTACTACAGAGCAATGTTTAGTTACTTAAATCAAATATTATTTGTGTAATCGCTTCCTATTAAACAAAAAACATCACTTTTATGCTGCAAATTGAGCAATTGTTTGAATGAATTTTTTTGTAGATGTCTACTATAAATATTTCCTTCTACTTACGGGACTCCATGAATATGGAAAAAATGGATGGAATTGATATGGAAACATCAAGATACTAAACTGCACAATTCCAAAAAAATCATCAAAATAAAATTGACTATAGTAATTGATATGCCTGTCACATGGAACTCAACTGACAACACTCACTCTCTCACTTATTAGCACCACTACTGTATGTACTTCCTTGCTACCTTTCTATACCAAGCCATCAGAACTCAGCGACCTTCCTACATTTTTCACAGCCTACAATTTAAATATTCCATTCAATCCCGTCCCACTAGATCCCGTACCTCCTACCTCTATCCACCTCCTCACCGAACTGCAGCGTTTGACAAATCCTTCATAATTCAAACCGTCTCCTTCTGTAATACCATCCCTCCCGATATCCGACATGCACAATCAGTTTCCTCATTTAAATCTCTCCTTTTTAACCACCTACTCCTTTCCCAACCCGATTGATCACGAAATGTAGATAAGAGAACTTTTTAAGTTCCTCAGATATGATTTTGTTTACTTATGTTATTTTATTTTCCCATGTTTGTTTTATATATATCAGAAATTTTTTTTTTTTTGTTTTGCTCTTCTTCCAATATTTTAACTTTAGATTTGTAAATATATAATTTAATGTTTAGCCACACAGGCATTTCTTCTGTAACTATAATTTATCCTAAAGGATAATAAAAAATATTTCCATTTCATTACGGTTCATACATGACCTTGGCATCCTTTAAAAGCTTACTCCATTCGGCTCTGTCTGGAGCAAATCTTCTACAGCGATGTTATCAGGTCTTCATCGACATCATACAGCCATCAAGTCCCAGAGCCTAAGTATTCCTACAACTCCTGAATTCCTATAGCAGTTTTTTTGGGATTCGACCCGAATCCATTATCTCATGTCCCGACCATCTTAATCGGCCCAGCTGGATATAAGAGGCGATTTCTCCTTCTCTAAATAACTCCTGCATCTCCTTATTTGTTCTGATTCGCTAGGCATCCCCAACCAGAGGTGCCCATAAGGTTTCACGCCGCAAGTTGCGCCATCAAAATTTTTGAGGCGGGCGCACGTTTTGACGGGGTTTTGAATTTTCGGGACCGAAAAGTTTCAAATCAGGAGACAAGAGAAAATCATTGTACAGAAAATTGGAAGTATAATTGTATATGACCTATGATTTTTAAAATTTTATTTTAGCTTGCACTGTTTTTAAGAAGAGAAGAGAAATAAAATATCTTAGGAGGGGAGGAGGAGTGGTCATGCGCCATTGATCTTGGGGGGATGGGCACCCATGTCCCCAACTTTGTTGAGAAAACTCTCTTGTTTTCTGCTTTTAGGATCCATGATCCACTGCAGTAGGTGATATTTGGCCTGAATCTTGTCTTATAGATTACGAACTTTGCCTTTCTTAACAGACATCTTAAACTTAAGGATCTTCAGTCAACCCCATTTCAAGCTGCGATTCTGGAGGTTCCACCAAATTATAAAACTACCAAGCTTGCTGAATTTTGGACGGCACTGTATTTAGTACTCTCTCTGTGGAATAGTCCAATCTTCACTGTATCTTTGTGCGGTTTACATAAACTGAACGTCAATTTCAACCTTGTCTTCCATATATTAACAAGTCGTCCGTGATAGCCAGATGTGTCAGAAAATGGTAAATTGGATTTCCGTAAACATTTTACGAATTGCGGATTCTAACACTACGTTGAAGAGCAGGAATGACATTACATCATGTTGCCATGATCCTTTCCATACTTTGAACTCTTTCTTACTTTTAAGCATCTTTGTCCGATCTTGACTTTAAAGTATTCAAAGAGTAAAATGTTTTCAACCTCCCGTAGGGATACAAAATGCCCCATCTTTGATAGTGAGAAAGCAAAACTAAATTGTTTATTAGAGTGCTACCATTACTCAGCAAGTGTTTTTCAAGTCATTATATACATTATGTTCTAATTTATAATTGGTAATTGGTTGACTGTCGTGGATAATGAAGAGAAGAATAGTTGGGGTGCACAGTCAAAAAAGGAAGGCAAAAAATAAATTATAATATTTATTTTTTGCCTTCCTTTTTTGACTGAGCACCCCAACTATTCTTCTCTTCATTATGTTCTAATTTACTAGATGTATTTATTGAATACAGTTGTAAATGTCTTTAAGTAATAAAAAAAAAATAGTTTGTAATTTGATGTTCGATTCCATTGACTGGGAAAAATATCTCTAAAAATAAAAATTTGCTGATGTATTGTATAATCTAAGGTGAGTACTTTAAAAATGAATGTTGATGTCACCAAATCGATAAGTATCGATTTATTAAGATCAAAATTATTTCTTAAGAGTTATGTTACAGGTGTTATCGATAATGAGGCTATAATGGAACTAAGGAGGAAGGAATTGGAAGACATTCCTCAGGAAGAAAGAAAAATAGCTTACCTAAGTATAGAATAATATACATTCCTACGTCGATTGATCCATGTTCAATAGCTGTTACATATTAACAAATACATTGTACTACATAATATATTTGTAACTGTCTTTTTTGTGTGTGTTTTAGTGATGTGGGCCATTATCAATGACTATTTAGCCAATTTAATAAATTTAGAAGATCGCCTCATGCGCAGGGCTTCTACTGTCTCTTGCAACCTGTCAGCTAAAGATCATCGGAACACAAAGATAAGATTAAATGTCCATGTAACGTGAATAAAATGTAGGAAAAGTCTGAGGAATATTTCATTATTAATAATAATAATTTATTTAAAAAGAAAATGTAAACTAAATGGATCCATAAAACAAAAATAATTGTAATAATAAAAATAGAATAATTCAAGATTTAATGCAGGATTAGCCCATCAAGGTAGATTTTACTATAGTTCGATAGTATTTAGTTCGTTATGCTATAGTCCAGTAACGTGGTAAATCATAAGTTGCATCCAGTGATGTTAAAAGTTTCTTTTTTTTTTTTCTTGTATTAGTCCAGACCCCCTTACCGTGCACCCTCCCTCTTCCCACATCCCTATAAATTGCATATCGTTGTGTTCCTTATAACTATTTAATAAAAAAAAAAGCAAATTTTCCCACAAAAAAAGTGAACAAAATGGCGTCCAAATATGGAGGACTGACGACATTGACTTTGGTTAATTTTTTGATAACTGAGAATCAGCATTTGGCTTAATTTCGTCATAGTTGGTCTGTTATTAAATCTGAATAGTCAGAAAATAAGAAAACATGAAAAAATATTAAAAAATAATTGACTTAGGTAGTAAAAAACACCATTAAAGTCAATTTGTTCAAGAACAAAATTTTCAAGTTGAAAATCAAGCGTCGTTTGTAATTAAATGGCCAACAATAACGAAAAACGTGCAGAAATAACACATCAAGAGAATATATTATTCTTTCTAAAACACTGATTATTTTTTAAAATATTTGAAGCAGTTCCGTAGAAAATGCACTTAAGCGGCAAAAAAGCGGTACTGGCGTGGGTGCCTACAGGCCTCTACCACACCATTCAGTACTCATAAATGGCTTAGTTATAGTGCTATAATAACGTTTTTGGTACATTATATTGATTATATTAACGAACAAATATTAATGTCATAATTTAATTGTCCAAAAAAAATTGAACAATTTTTTTAAAAATTGAACAATTTTTTTAAAAATTGAACTTCCTTTATTCTATACCGGAGGTCGTTTAAGAAGGCCTCTATTATAAAAATTATATAATTATAATAATAAAACTTAATTCAAAAATACTTTGCTGAATATCTTGAATTTTTTATTTCAAGTTTGCAATTTAACTTTGTTTTATATATTTACTGATTCTTTGAGGTAATTTAAATTATACATACTTCCCGGAAACGAGTCATATTAATAACTGTTTTATGAACTAAAATAATATATACCTAATCTGAACTACACATAATGAATAGTTGATGGGTCGTTTAGTAAAACTCATATATCACAAATAAAAGAATTAATTTGTATTTCCTTTATTTTGTTCGGAAATTGGACCATATCATAAAAAAATAGGAAATTTTAATATTGAATGCATTATTCTCTCTTCACAAAGAAAGATGAAAACGGCGAAGCTATATGTACTTCTATGTAACCAGAACTGATTCTAAAATGAGGGAAAATGCGAAATTGAACTCAAAAATTGGAAAAATACATTAAGCAAACGAGAAAAGAAGTGCCAAAATCTCGGAAAAGAAAACAAGGATCAGTATCAATTATATGGCTAAACGAATATATAGTAGACAGATGAACAGAATATTTCAAGATGCTGCTAAAATGGAGTCAAATGCTAGAGCAGTTAGGATGATATTAAGGGGACGATGCAGGTTTATTATCTTGAAGAGCATTTTATCAGCAAGAGAGATTTGTTCGAAACAATTGGCAAGTCAGCTGGTCTGGGCGAACCATCTAAAATTTACACGATTTGTATTCCAGAGCATATCATATTTAGTTTTTACCCAGGCATACATTATTAGTGTCACGGTTGCTTCATTAATACAAAAAATGTGTTCCTAAAAATAATAAATAATTTGTATTGCATAGACATACTCCAGTTTTATAATACATCGCTAACAGAAATAATTACAATAGTTTTGGGGGAGGTAAGGTTAAGATAAGACAAGAAAGTTTACGATACTATCTTTCGAAGCTCGTGAATAATTATGAGAAAAGCTTCTTGTTTCAATATATAATGGTTAATTAAACGTTTTCACTGCATTAAAAATATATATATTTCTGTCAGTGAAATTCCATAGAATTAAGGAAATTAGGTTATTTCAAGCTTTAGTTCCTCTGGCCGGAATTTTATATTATACTTAAGATTTGACTTTAAATAATCGCTGTAGTAGCTATAATAACTAAATGTTTCTAAGATTTTTTAAAAATTTAAATATTACACTCAAACCCACATTATTTCAATCACGACCATTTTTATGAGATTGATGATTCAATTTAGTAGTACCTAGTACCTACCCTGCCTTGAGGGATATGTATGTGTTATAGAAAACGGTTGATAAGATTATTTATAAGATATAAGAATATAATTACAGGAAGGTTACAACAATATGTTAAGCTAGACAGTGTTGCTTTTGAATACTAATCACCTTCAATACAATTTTTTTTTTAACTATTTATTTATAGAGCATTCCAACATTCTGTCACTTGGACATAAGTTACAGAAAGACAGGATCACATTCACACTATTAAACTTATTAAATATTATTAATTTACAATAGTACGTACAAAGTATCTTTTAAGGCTCGTTTACACGATGGTAATTTTCTGTCATTGTAGAATTGTCCATATAGTTAGACAGCTTCACTGCTGTTGTTAAACATGACGTCAAACCTGGTACCACTTTGGAAAATGGTGGATATAGAACAGCTGATGTCATTTTTACTCTGGTAATTTAAATGATATTAAATGAACTCAGAAACTTAATGTCGTCAACTTGTTTAATGCGTTCTAAATTACTAAATATAAATCTACATACAAAATTAAAGAAATTTAGAATCAATGCTAATTATATTAAATTTAAATTATGAGTATTCATGCAACCAGTGCTAAGTATAGTAAACATCTTGAATGTGTTAAAGTCGAAAAAACTTATTTAAGAAATGTGTGTTGAATATGGCCGCTAGTACACTCGATTTTAACGCAGTCTGGCGTCTTTTAAAGTGGTACTAATTTCGTAAATGTACGGAGAAGATTATAATAAAATTTCGATATCGTGTTTAGTTCTACCAGTCTAACCAATACAAGTCTGGACAATAGTACAAAGCATTAGACAAATTTTTTATTTTTTTATTTTAAACTTTTATTGAGTATTAATACAGTCTGCCACACTGAAGGGCATTGGTACTAGTGCTATAGTATTCATTCACACAATATGTACATAAGAAAGGAAAAAAAAAAAAAAAAGTATATATATATATATATATATATATAAATAAAAAGATAAAGTAATATACAAGATAATTAAAAAAACAGACCAGCCGAGTAATAACAAAACAAATAAAACACATTCACACCTATGTACAATAAGACAAAAATTAGGTTCTGTCTTGCAGAAAAAACAATCTTCAGCGCGGTCGGATCTACGGGGAGGGCTTTGGGGCTGATGCCCACTCTCCTCAAAATGGTAAAATATAACCATGTTTTATGAAAAAAATTATCTCATAAAGTATTATTGTTCGTGTAATTACACTTAAAAGCACTTTAGGAATCACTTAAACACCATTTCATATAGGTATTTAGTTTCTTTCTTTTTTACCAAAGTAATTATCGTTATTTTTATGAAAAAAAAAAAAGCTTTCGGGCTGAAGTCCCCCCGAAATTAAATCCTGGATCCGCTAATGATGCTCAGCATCTTGCAGTTTCCACGTTTGTATATACTGCGAAAAGTACTCTCAACTATCAAGCAAAATCTGATCTTCTGATAGTAAATGTCCAGTCAGGTAATTGAAATGACACGATTCAAGTGGCTCAAAACTGTTGTAAAAAATAATTAAAAGAATCAATTTAATCAACAAATCGGAAGAACAACTCGTTACGCTTCACCTTTAGGAAATCTCTGGTTTGTGAAAAGTCCATGCTCCTTAAAAACGCTGCTGCACATTTCATAAATTATGGAAAACAAGAGTGTTTAAAAGACAGGTTTCTCTATGGTAATAGGTCGTGTCCGATTCATCATATGTTTTATTAAGTAACAAAAGATAGATTCATTGTTTTTCTTAAGAGTTATTAAATTGAATGGCTTCTGGTATGATTCAAATGAAGTTAGTTCATCTAATGTCCTCTTTGACGAATTTTACACCTGCTTTTATTTTTATGATGGTTCCACGGTTAGGACAAATGCGATCAATATACATGGTCTGCCATATTTGATTCTCTGGATAAAGAAGTGTGTAAACCCACTTTTTTTTTTCAACAGTAACTCTATTTAGTAGAAGATTTGGATTTAACGGAATGATTAAGCATTATATACTACTAAACCTTGCTTATTCCACATTATCTTACTTTTATTAAATATATAACCAAATATATAATTAGCAGTGGTGAATAAACATTTTTTGGCTCTTTTCTACTTTAAGCACACCAGTGAATTTTGGAAGTGTTTTTGAATTTGGATTAAAATATTTCAGAAACTAAAAATCGGATCTGCATCCTGCAAGCGAGGTAAATGTTTAGAATTTCATCCTCTTTGTAATGAGCTATTATTCAAAATTTCTGAAGTGCTTAAAGTAGAAAAGAGCCTTTTTATTTTATTTTTGTATTTAAAAGCCCTTGATTGTACTTTTTTTCTTCTAGTGATGTTGAGATCATGAATTTAGTAAAATAATTTTTTTAAGCTAAAATATAGACCATAGCAGAGGAGTAGAGATATAATGTATAAGTGGGAAGGACCAGAAGAGGTCCAATGACGGGGGCGGAGATGGGTTGCCTAGGATACCAGCTACCAGGACCCGGATTGGCCACGTGTGGCCCACGTGCGCAGTCGTCCCTAGCCGAGGTGCCAATATCTTCACTTATACAACTGTTGGTGTACTCTATCTTGTTTATAAGAATTTTCTTATAATAATAAAGTTTACGAAAAACTTTAATAATCACATATTAGCCACCCTCAACATTATTAGTTCATAAATAACTGAACAATTTATTTTAACATCTATTTTTAGTTTATTATTTTCAATAATAAACCATTGTAATCG